GAGTCTGAGACCAGGAAAAGCACCGGGCAGAGATGATCTCCCAAGCGAAATGCTGAGGAAGGGTGGCGCTTGTGCACAGACTGCCCTATATGACATCATAACAACAGTCTGGACCGCTGGACGGGTACCGCAGGATTGGAAGGATGCCCTGGTGGTCCCCCTTTTTAAGAAGGGGGACCGCACAGACTGTAACAACTACTGAGGCATCTCACTCCTAAGTGTGCCGAGAAAGGTCCTGGCAAGGATTATTCAACATCGCCTTGCTAGGCACGCTGAGGAGAGGCTTGCAGAACCCCAATGCGGTTTCAGGAAAGGGCGGTCCTGTACAGATGCCATATTTTCTGTCCGTCTGCTACAGCAGAGGTGTAAGGAATTCCAACAAGACCTTCATCTCTGCTTTATTGACCTGGTCAAGGCCTATGATACCATCAGTAGGCCTGGGCTCTGGGTTGTTCTTCGTGCTTTCGGAGTCCCTGACCCTCTGCTCACGATCATTAAGGACCTTCATGATGGTGAGCGGGCCCGGGTAAAACTACGTGGCCGGGAATCAGAGCCTTCCCCTGTACACCTTGTGGTGCGACAGGGATGTCCTCAGGCTCCCACATTATTTAACATCTATTTCGACTGCGTAGTTCGTGAAGCCTTCAATAGCTGTACCGGGGGAATTTCCATTTGGTACAGATATAATGGGAGGCTGATCGACCACGTTATGTATGCCGATGATTTGGTAATAGCTGCTCATTCAGAAGAGGAGTTGGAGACGCTGCTGCTGAAACTGGAGCGTGCCACTAAGAGGTGGGGCCTTACCATCAGCCCCACCAAAACTAAGCACCTGCCTGGGTATTTTGTACCATCAGACACTCCACCCCCACAACTCCCAATCGGTGATGGGGCAGTTGTGGAGAGAGTGGAGAGTTTCCCATACCTGGGCAGTGTGCTTATGACCGGCTCCAGTTTATCAGCAGAGGTCTCACTCCGAATCAGTCGAGCGGCATTATCTTTTCATCGGTTGCGTAACGCTGTGTGGAAGCTACCTCCGCACGAAGCTTCAGGTCTTCTCGGCCACGGTCATTCCCTCCCTTCTCTACGCTTGCGAAACGTGGACCCCCCTAATGGAGCAACTTCGTCGGTTGGAAACATTTAGGCTGGCCTGCCTACGATCCATCCTGGGTTTAACCAGGCTGGATTGTGTGAGGAGCTCACAAATCCTTGAAAGATCTGGGCAAAGTCCCATCGGTGAGCTCCTCCGGCAGGCAAGGCTGCGTTGGCTGGGTCATGTAGCACGCATGCCCAGCTACCGCATGCCTAAAATCGAGGGGGCTAAACGGGCGCGGCGCGGGCTAGAGAAGAGATGGAGTGATGTGGTACAGGAGGACGTGGAGCTGAGTGGACTTGCCGATGACTGGTACCAGCAGTGTCAAGATCGGCCTCAGTGGAGGAGGCTCGTGAAGGACGCTACTGGGCAGTTGGAGGCAGTCGCCCTCCAACAACAACGGAGGGCAGAGGAGCGACGCTCACAACAACGAGCGGAGCGCCGGGTGGCTAAAGCACAGCAAGTTGGTACGGTAGGGGGCCACAGGTGGTGCATCAGCCAGTCATCTCGGTCATCTCGGTCAGTCGACCCGTGGCACCTGCTGGGTCTGCCCCGTGACCTCCTGCCAGCGGGCGTTCGACACTTCACGTGGCCTCAAGGTGCACTTGGCCTGGCATAAGCGTCGTGGTGACGTCACCGGCACTTAGTGGCGAATGGCGGTTGTTGTTGTATAGGTGTGTGTGTGTAGGTGTGTAAGTGTGTAGAGGTGTGTGTGTGTAGGTGTGTGGGGAGCGGTAGTGTAGCAGTTAGCGCGCTGCGCTATGAACCTGGCGACCCAGGTTCGATTCCCACTCACGGCTAACACCAGTGACGATTATCTGAACCAGTCCTGGGCCTCCCCTAGGTCGACTCAGCCTTAAATGAGTACCTGGTGCGGTGTGTAAACATCGCCACTGGGGAGACAAAGGCGGTCGGGCGTGGTGCTGGCCACCCACCCCCTCGTGTACCGTTCCGGCCTTCATAGGTGCTCGCTAACAGCACTTGCCTCTACAGTCTGTTAAGGCTATACGGGGGATCTTTGTCTTTGTAAGTGTGTAGGTGTGTGTGAGTGTATAGAGGTGTATAGAGGTGTGTGTAGGTGTGTGTAAGTGTACGGAGGTGTTCGGGTGAGTAACCCTGGCAGCGCAACGCTGCTGGCGTCTCGTGCTGCCGCCTGTACCGCGCCTTGTCCACCAGAGGGCATCGCCTACCCACGGGTTGTGTGGCGTCAGGGTGAGAAGTGGAGGGTGGGGAGGGGTCCGGGGGTGGGGGGGGGCTGCTGCTGCAGCGCTCAGCAAGGGGTCGTGCTTGGTGCACCACTGCCAATTCTTTATTGCATCGATCTATCTCATTCTTTGTCTCTGCTTCTATTTCTTTGCGCCCGAGTATGCACCGCTACTTGTGGTACCCTATCTGTACTCATTGGAGAGCCACATCCAAACCACTAAATCTTCTTGTTTCTTGTGTGAAGCCCTCTCCAATATTTTATTTTATTTCTGCAAAAGGGCTGCTGCCATGACTGTGGGATGGTTGTCACGATTGACTTCAAATGTCGCGGTTCGATCTCCCAGCCTGGCCTTGAAAACATTGACCAGGATTCTTACAATTCCCTGTTTTGTCCACCCACAGTCCATCGGTGGGTCGCGTGCAGTGGGCTAAATGGCGAGTACTCCCACCTCTTTCAAGACGAATGGTCAGTGTGGAAAAGTTGGCCAAAACATACCCACCGGATCGGCACTCTAGACCTCCCTCTAGTGGAGGTTCTTTCACCAGCAGTTGCATGAGCAAGTAATTGCAGGGCTGCAGCATTAACCTCACGTGTACAACAATCATCTGGTTTACGTGCATTTCAGAACTCCTTGATCCAGACCCCAACATCCCAGTGCTGCAGGCTCAGTGCTCTGCATCGGTGTTACCATTGCGCCGTTGCTCCTCTGCAACCCCGTGCCACCCGTTGCCGCGTGTGACATCGCTGCGCCCTGTGCACCGCACGTGTCCCCAGCCCCTGCCGCTGCTCCGCCGGGACACCGGCTTGATGCTGACGATGTCTCAGGAGCAGGCCGCCTGCCTCCTGGCCAACGCCTTCTTCTGCACGTTCCCCCGGAGCAACGCCACCGGGACCCGGAGCGAGGACTCTGCCTGCCCCGACATCAACGTCAACAGGTGCAGCAGCAGCAGCAGCCCATCACTGTGGATTACACACCGTACACCGTGTGTCATGCAGTACACACACACAGATGCCATGCTCTCTCTATGTAGAGTATATCTTGCTGTATATGTAGCGTCGGAAATGCAAAGCACACACCACCTGTAGTTGCGGGCACGAGTCTGCAGGGGGTGCCACCGTGAGTTAGAGAGAGAACCGGGACCGTTGAGAGGCCGAGTTCCCCCCCCCGATCCCAGGTGAGGGGTTGGGGGGTTATTCCAAAGCCACCTGGAAGGTTCCAGAAAGGGGGCGGTACCGGGGGTGGAGAGTCCCCGAGGTGGGTATAAAAGACGGACCCCAGGACGGCCCGAGGCAGTGCTCTGAAGACGAAGACTGAAGACCGGCTAGGCTAGGACCCTGGGACCCCGGGACCCTGGGACCCTGGGACCCCGGGACCCGACGTCCTTTTAAGGGGCGGGGCCGAGCACGGACCAGTGGTCGAGACCCGCACCTTGGCTGGGTCGGGTCAGCATAGCCTCCCCTAGGCCACCCTTAGTCGGAGGACTCAGAGCCCGTAGCCCCAGTGATAGGGCACGTTAGCCCGGAGGCCATACCTCCCCAAGTAGTGGGAGTAAAAGGGGCTTCTGTTATAAGATTTAAATAAACCGTGTTGCCTCTAAGCTACGTCTCCAGTCTCCGTGGGAACCCACTACATATACACAAGAAATGCTGTTCTACACATAACGGCCATGCCACGTTTCAGTTCAAAGTAACTCTGCAGTACGTGCACAGGCTATGCTCCTTTACACATACTCTGTATTATACGGCACACACTTTCATGGTGCTGTCTACACGGTATATGATGCGTTACACGTAGGCCATGCTGTATTATAAACTCCATTCAAAGTATCAGTTTATACGTAGCCAATGCCACTGTACAAAGACAAAGATCCCCCCTCATAGCCTTAACAAATTTTTGAGGCAAGTGGTGTTAGTGAGGACCTACAGAGAACGGGCACAGTACACAGGGGAGTGGGTAGCCAACACCACGCATTTGTCTCCCTCGTGGTGATGTGTACCCACTGTATCAGGTACTCATTTGAGGTTGAGTCGATCAAGGGGAGGCCCAGGACCGGTTCAGATATTTCCCACTTTTATACCGGTAGGAACAACAGGTTCCACACTGCCCACCAGGGATTATTTGTCTGTCGTGCATGGGGAGGGGAGGGTGGGGGTGGGATGGGTGGGGCTGGGTAGAGAGGGGAGGGTGGGGAGGGGCTGGGTGGGGAGGGTGGGGCTGGGTGGGGGGTGGGAGGGGTGGGGCTGGGTGGGGAGGGGCTGGTCACCCCGTGGTGCCCTTATAAAACTCAACGTTTAACCTACACACTACACTACACACTACACTATACACGACACGATACACTACACGATACACTACACTTATACAAGTGTAGTGAGTTCTCAGGGAGACAGACGACGTAGTTGAGGCACACTCTTTTATTTAACCAAAAGGCGGTAACAATACTTGAAGGGGTAATGGCCCCTTCACCCGTACTCAATGGGAAACACCCCTAGCACTATCCCCTGACTTCTCCTATTCCCAGTCCTCCGCTATGAGTGCTAGGGGAGGCTATCTGATCCGGCCCTGGTCAAGCACGGATCCCGGCACCCAGCTAACCAGGCCGTGCTCTTACAAGAGCAGCGGTCCTGGAGCTCTTGGGGCCGCGCCACTTGCCCTGCTCGGCCCTGACAAGGACAGCGAGCCAGGGGAGTTCCAGGGCCTATTCTGCCGGTCTTCAGTCTTCTCTGGTAAGCGTCTAACACACTGGCCTCGAGCCCTCTGGCTCCCCGCCTTTTATAAGAATCCTCTCCGAGGGGTGGGGCTATGGGGGATCACAACGCCCCCATGCCCCCCCAGGGTTAACCGATGCGGACGTGGATGTAGACACCCGTGTGTGGGTCCAGACACCCTTGTGTTTGTCCGCCTTTCTTCCCGTAACAACCCATAAATTTGTATTTAGTGTTGAAAAACTGGCAGGATTTTACGTACTTTGTGCTTATATGCTCAGTTATTTTGTGACTTGCTTACATTTTTACACTTTGCACTCATTTTCTTTTGTTTGTTGTTGTAACTTGCTGACCCTGTGCCTCGACTGCATATCTGTGAAAGAAGAGCTTCATAGCTTATCGGATTCCTCTTCATCCAGTCTAAATAATTTATTCTGATTTTGGAAACCAATGCAGGATAAAACGGGGGGGGGGGGGTAGAACACACTCCACATTCCACACGGAGAAAGTGGCCCAAGTTTGGGCATCAAACCCAGGTCCCTCTGTGAGTTCCAGCCCTGCCGCCTGCAAACGAACACATGTACAGTTCAAACCCCACGTGTACATTCGGTTATATACGGATGTATTTTTATAATTGGTTTCTGGGTGAAGACAAATAATGAAGCAGCCATATCTTTGCCATGTAGCCTTTCATCCAGTGTGATATCGCAAGACTAATGCCCATTTTGTAACCAGACCCACGATGGGCAAAGGTATGCTGCGTTACTGCAGCATCGTTATTAACCTGGTTAATCTATCTCCGCACGATGGTGGGGGGGGGGGGGGGGGAGTGCGATCTCTGCTGTAGCAGGAAGTTGGGACGGTGTCGTGTGCATCTCTTTACAGAGCGGAGCCGGCGCTGCCCCCATGCTCCGCGCTCACCCAGGCCTCTAAATGGCTGACGGTTGTTGTGGAGGAAGAGGAGACTCTGGTGGAGGAGCTGTTGGTGCAGGAGGAGGAGACCCTGGTGGAGGAGCTGGTGGTGCAGGAGGAGGAGACCCTGGTGGAGGAGCTGTTGGTGCAGGAGGAGGAGACCCTGGTGGAGGAGCTGGTGGTGCAGGAGGAGGAGACCCTGGTGGAGGAGCTGTTGGTGCAGGAGGAGGAGACCCTGGTGGAGGAGCTGTTGGTGCAGGAGGAGGAGACCCTGGTGGAGGAGCTGGTGGTGCAGGAAGAGGAGACCCTGGTGGAGGAGCTGGTGTTGCAGGAGGAGGAGATCCTGGTGGAGGAGCTGGTGGTGCAGGAGGAGGAGACCCTGGTGGAAGAGCTGGTGGTGCAGAAGGAGGAGACCCTGGTGGAAGAGCTGGTGGTGCAGGAGGAGGAGACTCCGGTGGAGGAGCTGGTGGTGCAGGAGGAGACCCTGGTGGAGGAGCTGGTGGTGCAGGAGGAGGAGACCCTGGTGGAGGAGCTGGTGGTGCAGGAGGAGGAGACCCTGGTGGAGGAGCTATTTGTGCAGGAGGAGGAGACCCTGGTGGAGGAGCTGGTGGTGCAGGAGGAGGAGACCCTGATGGAGGAGCTGGTGGTGCAGGAGGAGGAGACCCTGGTGGAGGAGCTGGTGGTGCAGGAAGAAGAGATGAGGGGGGAGACAGAGGAGGTATGGACGAAGGAGCAGGAGGAGGAGATGGTGGTGCAGGTGGAGGAGACATTGGTTGAGAAGATGGTGGAGAAGGAGATGACAAGGAAAGAGGATCAGGTGATGGTGATGCAGGAGGAGAAGAGGAAGCGAGGGAGTCTGGCCCGCATAGGGAGAACCATCCGTTCACTCCTCCGACGCGTGCTGCTGTGTGGTGGCCGGTCCACCACACAGTAGAGGTGGTGGTGGTGGTGGTCACGGATCGTTGTGAACCACAACCACTATCACCATACCCACCACACACACCCTGCACCCATTCACCCCCCTGTGATACCCACCACCCAACGCACACCACACACACATTGCACCCACCCACCCCATGATCCCACCCCCACCACATTCCACACAAAGGGTTAGGGGTTTAGAGGGTTAGGGATTTATAAAGTTAAGGGTTTAGAGGTTTTGGGTTATTTCAGGGATAAGGGGTTTAGAGGTTTAGGGATTTCGAGGGTTATAGGGTTTAGGGGTTGAGGGGATTCGAGAGTTAGGGGTTTAGAGGATTGGGGTTTAGAGGGTTAGGTGTTTAGAGGATAAGTCTATTTGGGGTACAGGGTTTTAGAGGGTTAGGGTTTTCAGGGTAAAGGGGTTTAAGGGTAAAGAGTTTAGAGGGTAAAGGGGTTTAGAGGGTTAGGAGTTTATAGGGTTTTGGGTTTACAGTGAGGGAGAAAAGTATTTGATCCCCTGCTGATTTTGTACGTTTGCCCACTGACAAAGAAATGATCAGTCTATAATTTTAATGGTAGGTTTATTTGAACAGTGAAAGACAGAATAACAACAAAATCCAGAAAAACGCACGTCAAAAATGTTATAACTTGATTTGCATTTTAATGAGGGAAATAAGTATTTGACCCCCTCTCAATCAGAAAGATTTCTGGCTCCCAGGTGTCTTTTATACAGGTAACGAGCTGAGATTAGGAGCACACTCTTAAAGGGAGTGCTCCTAATCTCGGCTTGTTACCTGTGTAATAAATGGACTCGGACACTTCCTTCTGTCTTCGTGTCTTTTATTGGGTTCTCGTCTTCACCCACACGGCACTCTGTTATAACTCTGTATTTGTAGCCCCCGGCTATTCACTGCTATTATAGCTTCTTCTTCCCTCTGACTCTCTGCTTCATCTACTGTAACCTCCTCCCTGCAGACTCGCTGCTACCTCTATGCAGACTCCCGCTGCTACCCCTATGTGCAGACCCTCTGGCTGCTACCGTATGCAGACCCGCTGCTGACTCTGTATGCAGCCCCGCTGCTGACTCTCTGTGCAGCCCCGCTGCTGACTGCAGCCTCCTCGCTGCTTCGGGTCGGTCACCGCTGGCCAACGGTGCCGATCCTCGCTCCCCCGTGTTCGTGGCGATCTCGCCACCCTCCGCTTCGCCCTTCGTGGCCTCTCTCTGTTCCTGGTTCCCCGTCACTCCCTATCCTCTTCCGGTTCCCCTCCTTCTATAGCTCAACCCCTCTCCCCCCACGTGACCTAACTCCTCCCCTCATGACGGCACCTCCGGAGGGCCGTTTACGCCCGCATTACATCACCCTCCCCCATAAAGAAAATCCAGCCGACCTCGGCTGAATTGCAACCTGAAAAGCAATGCGGGTGTAAAGGGCCAATACCTAAAAAGACACGAAGCATGCAAGAACAATATAACAATGAACACAACACAACACAATCTAACGAAACGTGAGGGATTTCGAGCGAGTACGGGCAGCCGGGCCGTCCCGGACGGTCGGCAGACCACCCGCCGAGCGGGAACGTGGAAGGGTTTTAGGGGCGACGGGCGCAAGTTCTTCCGTCGCCATTGGAGGCCCGCCACTGTCCCGCTCGCGTCCAGAGACATCCCGTACTCGCGTCCGCGGAGGGATAGGAAGAGCTGCAGGTCCCGTGGGTTCTGCGGCTCCAGTCGACGTCCCACGAGCGGAACGTCCTCCTCCCTGCGCTGTCACGGCCGGCTTGTCTGTGCCGGAGGGTACGACAGGCGCTCTCGCAAGGTCAGCAGACACAGGCAAGGGCGAGTCGGCAGCAACAGACCCCGGCAAGGCAACTTCGGGAGATGACGCATCCGGCCGCGGGGCAATGTATGGCTTCAACCGGGATGTATGCACGAACCAGCGCCGTGAACCAACCTGAACACGCGCCGACTGTGGGTTGGGAACCTCAATGAGGCGGACCGGACCCTGCCAAGGTCTATGTAATATAGGAGAGGTACCTGGCCGCACCTGTGGGCAATGAAGCCAGGCCAGGTCCCCCTTTTTCCAGGGGCACTCCCCCTTTGATCGTCGGGCACACCGCTCATTCCTGGCCTGAGCCTTGGCAGTAGCCATGCGGGCACTTTCCCTCGCCTCAGCGACACGCCGAACGTTGTCCTTAATATACTCAGGAAGAGGCTTAACAGGCCCCCTCGCGCCGGTTCCCAACTGTTCATTAATCGGCGGCACATTCTCACGGCCGTACATAAGGAAGAACGGCGAGTATCCAGTACCCGCGTGCGGCGTCATGCGATACGCCGAAAGCACCCCAGGGATATGCAAATCCCAATCAGATTGATTTTCCCCGACTGTATGGCACAGCATGGCGGACAGAGTCCGATTCAACCGTTCCACCATACCATCCGTTTGCGGGTGGTAGGGGGACGTCCGTATCTTTTTAGTTCCAAGAGCCGCACACACCTCCCCCAACAATTTGGACGAAAAGTTACGTCCTTGATCCGTAAGGAGCCTCTCCGGCGCCCCTTTGTCCATTACATACCCAAATAGAAAGGCGTCAGTGATAGACGCCGCTGACTGGTCAGGCAAAGGCCAGGCCATCGGCCAGCGAGAGAGGTACTCAACCCCCACCAGTAAATACTTATTTCCCTTAGCGGATGGCGGAAAGGGTCCCAAAATATCTAACGCCACCAGCTCATTAACCCGAGATATTTTAATCGATTGTATCGGCGGAACATATGGATGTTTAGGTGTTTTCATCTTCTTGTTTCTTTCGGTAAAGTCACGTAGAAGGGAAGTAATAAAATAATAAAAATAAAACATAATAAAACAATTCTCACGACGTTTCGGCTACAACGCAAGCAGCCGTCTTCAGGTGAAGAATGAGACACTACCAAACTAGGAGCTTATATATAAGCTGCATTGGGGGTTGAAGAGCGCCTTAACAAAAAGAATGTGCATGTGAAGAGGAATTTAGCATATTCATGGAAAATGCGTAGGCGTTGGGCGGGGGGGTGTCAAAGTCATATTATGCCCATGCATTATGCAGGATCAGCAGCAACCAAGGGGGGTGTAGGGATTAGCAGTAACAAAGGAAAGGAATGTTAATGATATGTAGCTGCAGTTACTCAACAACCACGTAGAAAACTAAAGTATAAACTACATAAAAAACTAAAGTATAAACTGCATCGCACCATCAGTATACTTACTATACTCTATAATAAGCTGAGTTACTAACAGCAAGTAATACATTACAATTCTACCTCGTAAAAATTCTATAATATGCTTCCATCTAAACCTTATTCTCTTACATCACACGAGCATATACCGTACTATATACTGCCATAGATAAACCCAACATTAAATTATATACTGTATTGCTGTAAACCAACCTATATCTTATACATTTAATATAACACTATGTATTATTCTACACACCCTAATGTGTATCGAAATGGTTTATTACGTCCTTCCAATGATTGCTGAGCCAGAATCCATCTTCTCGGTTAAAATTGTCTCTGTGTTTGTATATGTGGATCGCCTCATGAACGAATCTCTCATGATAGCCAGATGGCTTGCAGAGAACCTCTGTCTTGGAGAAGTCAATATCATGTGAGCCCACTGAGTTGTAACAGTGATCTGCCACGGCTGAGGTGTTTGTCCTACCGTGTTTCAGGTCAGCTTTATGTTCACGGATGCGGTCCGAGACATGTCGTTTGGTTTCCCCAATGTAACTGCTACCACAGAGGGCAACTTAGTTTGTAGACGCCAGGGTACTGTATGTCTGGAACCACATCTTTTACAGACGGTACCAGATCACGGATTTTATGTACTGTGTTGAATCGGACCTGGATCTTGTGTTTAATCAGGATTTTGGAGATCTTTTTTGTGACCCCAGCAATGTAGGGTAAGGTGATGGTCTTGAAAGGCTCCTCAACAGGATCCTTCTTGATGGTTGGAGTGATGGCTTTGCGGATTGTATAGTCGGAGTAACCATTTGCCTTAAGAGCTTGGCGTACGTGTTTGAGTTCACTGGAAATGTGTTCATGGTCGGAGATGCATTGGGCTCTATGATATAGAGTCTTGATTAGGTGGTTTACGGCGGGCGCAATCGGGACACGCGCGAACGTGACCGACGACATCCGTCGTCATGCCGTGCCAATAATAGTCTCGTTGCAGCGTCAATAGGGTTTTCTGCACCCCCAGGTGTAAAAGTGTGTCACAGTGCAAAGATCTAATCAACTCATACCGCAATGACGCAGGCACAACGAGACGCCAGTGTTCTTGTATCCCTTCCCTCCACATCAGTAACCCATCTCGGAGAGCAGTTTCC